TACGCTACACCACATGATACTATCTATATGGCTACTTTATCGATCCTTACTGCTAATCCCTTGCATTGTCACCTGCTTCATCAAGGATCATCTAGAATGCTCTTGCCTTTGGCTTCAACAACATATTTTGCCTTGCAGTTTCGTTTTTATTTGGACAGTTCTTCGAAATATGCCCACCATCTCCACATTCGTAACACTTATTGTTGTCTAATATACAATCTCTGGAATAGTGACCGATCCTCCTACGCTTATAACAAGTCACTTCTCCGTTACATCTCCCATAGTTCTTCTTCTTGCACTTCTCACACCACTTGGCTCCACCACTACCTCCATACTTTTGGTCATCCAGGTTAGACTTAGAGAATATTCCTTTCTTATCGGATCTTGAGGATCCCTCAAGCTTCTTCTTTTCTCTTGCCTTATCTTTTTCCAGACCCTTTTTCCCTAAGTTGGGTTTCCACATTCGTGTCTGCTCTAACGGCTGTATTCAAAGTAGTTTCCATTTTTACCATTGCACCAAAGTCTGCTAGCAATCCGTTAGCAAACCTATCTATCTTGAAGAGTTCAGTAGGCACCAAGTGGGGGAATAACTTCATATTCTTCGTGAATGTGGTGACATACTCATCAACACTCATCTTGTCTTTCTTCAGGTTCCAAAACTCGTTGTTTAGGTCTATTAGATCTATCTCTGAGCAGTATTGCATTTTCAACTGCTCCATGAATGCTTCCCAAGACATCCGCATGGCTTCTCCCTGTGGCATTATATCTGCCAACAACTTCCACCAACTTAAACTCGGTCTTTATTTGTCTGACTGCAAAGACGGTTTTCTACTTGTTGCTACAGTTGCAGCTTTCAAATACCATCTCCATCTCGGAGATCCAGTCCATAATCTCCACTGGCTTTGGGCTTCCAAAAAGACTTGGTGGTTCGGTCCCAAAAAAGTTCTTATACTTACGCCCATCCTTGTCAATCCCGCTGTCTGGGTCGTTCCTCCTGACCACTTAGGGTTCAACTTGACTCACAGTACGACTGTAATTTCCTTCGTCTGACAGCTCTTCATTCAGTTCGCGTTGCATAGTAAGTTCATCCCTATTTGTTGAAGTAGAAGCCTCGTCTTTTCCATCTGACGATCCAACATCATTTGTATCATTGCTTGTACTCTTGCCATTGTGATTAGCTCGGCTACAGTTGCTACCTTTGGTGCACGCTCAATTACTCGTGGTTCAGGCTGTTGGTTTCCATTAACATTTCCTAATCCACTACGAGTTCTCACCATTTTGATATATACACTATAGCAGATGTTCAGTGTACAACAACGAGAATTATCATAGGAAATCTTTATTTACTATAGACGTATAGATCTCCTTCTCACTCCGAAAAGTTACATGCCAGTTCTAATAATGTGGTTAAACGTTTAGAAATCTAAACACATAAAATTTCCAGATCCGATCGGCAATAGACCATAGATCTGATAGCGTCATAAAGCATATAAGGCATCTTATAGCATAAATCATTTAGCACATAAAAGCAATTTAGCCATCTTCCCTAAATAAGCTATTGCTCGTGTCTATTCAGGCATACTACCTAAATATAGCAGACAATCATCTCACAATCATCGCTTAGCATTCTAAGTTTAAGTATAGAAATCCTACAAATTCCTAGTTCGCTTAAACTAATGCTGTGATACCAATTGTGACATCCCTATTTTCACGGCCAGAAAAGACCGATTTGTTTATGCTTATTTAAAAATCAGAGTATCCTTTTAAAAACAGTATTGCGGAATTTGTTCCCAGAAAACATGATAAAGATGTTATCAAATCATTTCCAATGAAATGTATTTTTATTTAAAACATCGGGATGTCATCGTCAATACAGAAACATAAGCATAACGAAATATTACAAGCCTTACAGTAATTAAACAAGTGGCCTAATACTCCTTGAATCTCTCAGCAGAATGTATCTTTCATATAGCCTCATGTGATACATTAAACTGAGTGGGTCAGGTTGGGAAACCTGGTGAGTACATAGGGTTTTCAACCCACAATAATATAGTTAATTTGTTTCTTCACATATTTCATGTCAAACAATTAACCCGACTACCTATCCCCCATTTTCTTTATTTAATCTTCCCTAAAGATTTATCCTAAGGGTCATCTCCTACATCGTATTTACCTCACATCTCCTTACATCACATTTCCTTATATGTTTGTTCCTAAGGAATTTTCCTAAGGATCATCGCCTACATCGCATAGATAATATTGATTTGGGGATTACTCCCCCAATACGTGTCCAGTAAGGGTTAGAGTATCATCGCATGAATACGTAGTTACTACATCGCCTGAACTCGTAATTCATCACCTACATGTTACGAGTCGGCCGATGTTTCCACATGACTTGTTTAAATTAGTTAGTGGTCGCCATCTATACTTTGGTAGATGACTACATCGCAACATCACAGGTCAAGGTTATGGCATATTCTAATCATCTCTTATCTCGCATCACCTATTCATCATCGAATATCTATCATCACCTAGTTATCATCACCTATCTCTCATCACCCGTCGCTACCCAATACATATTTGTAAGTATATAATACTTATATGATTAAATCAGTTAAACATCATCACATAATATCTTATCTAACACATACTATTCACGGTATAGATAATAAGCACATAAGCATGTAATTATCCAGATACTTCATATGTATGTTTAAGATGAAAGTAACTATAGACTCACTTGTTAAAGTGACGACTCGAAATTCGGGCAGCGCTTCGCTTCTAGCAACCTGTATTTTCCTTCGACAAAACCTAGTATCATTATTACTAAGTCTTAGTCTATTATTTATTGCGACTAATTATTAGTCTAGATTCATCATTAACTCAAAGTCTACTTCAAGATGTATCAAGTAAGGAACAACCAGGTATGATCGTATCGGAGGTAGGTTCCGTTTGGTATACGAAGTATACTGTTTGGAAATCCCACTTTAAACACCTTACTAAATCCTAGGCTAGACATCATCCCCGTAAGTAGATCAATCAGTATAACGACTTGGAATAACTGATAAATCTTGTTTATAGGTTCATAATAACGATAATGAACTTAAACATAAGTTATACTTAAAGTAGGATAAGAATAACTCACTTACAAGGGGGTTTAACGAAGAACCGGGCTCTGTGCGGACAAAACTTCTAAGCCGAAAGCTCTTCTTCGTGGGGCCTTCTGGCGCTCCGGGACTCGCTACTAACAACTAGGAGGTGCCAGGGAAAGGGGAAGAGGGTTTGGGGGTATTTGGGAGAGAAGTTAAGAAAAGGTGTGAAGAGAAATGATGAAAAACGCCTCATATTTATAGGCTGGGAATCGCATGTACGCTGAAAAAAAAACAACTTAATGCAATTAAATGTTTTTATAGAAGCTTAGTCGCTGCAAAATATTAAAAAAACAGAAATTTTTGCTCGGTGTTTGTTAGTGCATATATGTAAATATGTGATTTACATATGCAAAACACATATTTACAGAAATTTTTCTCTTTTTTTTTTTGAAAAAATATTCATGAAAAAATTTATCAGGTTCCGAAAAACTATAAGTAATCATGATATATATGAAGATCCATTGGGATCACTAAAATTTTTAAAATCTTAGTATATATATATTTTTTACTTTTGTTTTAAAGCATATTTTTTTATTGAAAGTAATTAAAAATATCTAGAGTAATCATTTTTAAACATCTTTTGGATAATGATATTCATTTTTTTTGCATATAACAAAAAATATACACCATATACATATCACTTGAATTTTTTTTTTTTTAAATTAACGAATCATCTTTTATAACGTCTTAACCTATTAATACATTTTGCATATGTACATTAATATATATATATATATATATATATATATATATATATATATATATATATATATAACATTTTGTGGAGTGATATTTCATATTGCTAGAAATAGATCATGGGTTTTATTGATGTTGTTATGTGTATAAACAAAATTGTGCATATGTGCCCAACACAAATATAGACATGTAAATATGAGTTTGTGCATATATGTATATTTGTAAACTCTTCTCGATTTTATTTTTTAAAAATACGTCTTTATATACTAAGATATTGCTACAGAAGGTGATTCGTTGAAAAAAAACTACAAAAGAAAAACATTTTTTCGAGTCATGTGCATTTAGCGACCATGTTAGGTTATATGCCTTTTTTTATATTAATAGGTAAAAAGGTTAAAAGGTAATGAATTTACATATTTTTATAAAATTAAATCCTAAAACGATCATTGAAAAAAATGATGTTATGATATTAATTGAAGTTTTTTTTTTCTCTCTCTCCAAAATGTTTTATATATATATATATATATATATTATATATATATATATAATATATATATATATATATAATTTGTTTTGAACAAAAATTTGATTTAACTGAGTATATTTTAAATTCAAAATTATATGATTGAAAAATAATATGATTCAAAATGACTATTTGAATTTTTATGATAAAAAATGATATGATGTAAAAATATTATGATAATTAATTAATATTTTGTTATTCAAAATGAACGGTGAAATATTATCTAAATTTTTTTGGTTTCCTATAAGGGGTTGTGTTATTATTCTGTTCCACCTATTTTATCTTTTTAATATATTTGTTGTTTTGAAATATAAATAGCGTTACTATATTAAATAATCGATAATTGCAGGATATAAGTATAAGTGATTATATGATCAAATCTTTAGTGACGTTGACATCTTCTTTAAATATAAATTATTATTAATTAATGTTAGTATTGTAATCCACATTGAGCGAAACACAATAAATTATCATTCCAAAGTTACTATAACCACTAAGAGTAAGGCCCAAATATATAGTAACGATAACTTCAAATACAAAAGAAGTAATCTAAATCAACTAGTAATTAGGAAAAGGGGAAATACGCAAATGACTGCATAGAATCCTACCCGCAAATGTGTAAAGTGGATTCAAGATATGTCCCTACGCAAAATGGTTGCTTTCAGAGGATTCTTCATCACTACAGTAAACGCAAAAGTCTCTGTCGGATCTGGTGGGTTACCCGGAATAGGGACCCACTTGAATTTATGAACCATCCTTGCTAGCAACATGTTAACATGCAACGTACCCAAACTCCACGCCGGACAAATCCGCCGTCCGGCACCGAAGGGCAGCATCTTCACGCCCTTCATTCCGGTTATGTCTACACCCGCCCCTTCTCCGCCATCCAAGAATCTCTCAGGCCGAAACTCCTCCGGAGCTTCCCATACATCTGGATCCTCCGTTACCCAAGCTGTGTAGAACTCCACGTTCACGTCCGGCGGAATCACGTATCCACCGAGCTCCGTCGGCTGAGTGGCCGCGTGTGACAGTACGAAGTGGCTAGGTGGGTGTCGACGGAAAGTCTCTTTGACCACCGCAGCTAGATACGCCATGTTCTCCACGTCACTTTCTTGAACCTCTCCATTTACACCAACTTTTTCGATTATTTCCCTGTAAAGCTTTTCTTGTATTTCTTGATTCATCACCAAATGGAACAGCGCCCACTCGACAGCGGTGGCGCTAGTGTCCGTCCCGGCATTGATCACTTCTGACACAAGTGTCACGAGCTCCTCTTCACCTAACTTCCCCCTGCCGGCTGGTTCGAGATTGTAAAGTGAGTCAATGTAGGCAGCGCCAACAGGGCTCACCATCTCCAAATCATCAGCTTTAAGCCGGTTAACACTAGGGTTTTTCATATTGTCTACACGGCTCTCCAGAAATGCTCGTCTTGCTCTTACCAACGGGACCAAACACTCCATCTGCCTCCTTCGCAGCTCCTTTGCAGCCACCAGTTGACGGCGGAAGAGTGGGAGGAGCACAGGCATGAAATCCGGCAGCTTTGGCAAGGTGATCATCATAACATCTTTAAGTATGCTCTCTATGTTTTTGATTTTTTCCTTTGAAATTCTTGCACCAAAACACAAACAGATCAAAATGCTACAAACTGTAAGTCTACAAGTACTCATCACCTCTACGAACCCATATTGTGAGTTTTCGGATTCTACTATTTTCATGTGTTCTTCAAAGGCCCACTTCCTAATCCAACTACATTGTCGGATCCGGGTGGGGTTGATCAACTCCGTTACAAAGTTCCTTCTCAGGGTGCGCCAGAGGGGACCATATTGCGCAGAATTGATGGCACATTTTCCGACGCTAAACAGTAATCGGATAGGAGAGTCTGGGGGCCGGCTAGCAAAAATCGGACCCTTTTGGACTAGGGCTTCATGGATGAGGTCTGAGCTTGTGACGATGACTAAGGTACGTTGGCCCATTTGCATGGTAAAGATTGGACCATACTTGGCACGCAAGTCACGTACGACATACATGAATGGACGTTTCTGAAGGATGACCTGAACAAGGTTGCCAACAATCGGCCACCCTGGTGGCCCTGGTGGGAGGATTTTCCTCTTATGAGAGGCCGTGAAGTGGCTTCTCCACCACAAACAACAAAAGAGACATGTTAGAAAGGCCAAACCAATGTCCAGAAATTCCATTTTAGTGTGTATGGTGAGAGAGACTTAGTTGATAAATATAGAAGGGTCATAAAATTTGGGTTTAGAGGGCGATGAGTAGTAAATGAGTTGATATCTACCCTCTGATAGATGTATTGAATATGAGCAGTAGATTCTATTTATTAGTGGTAAGGTTGTGGTGGTTGTAGGGTTACCAGGATGCCGTTAAAACTTATAGAGTTAGATCATCTTTTTTTTTTTTTCTTTTTTTCTCTATATTTATTTAAAAGGTGTCACTTGATCTCTCGACCTCAAGTAGGAAGGGCAACACCAGATAACGCTGTATTAGAAATAAATAAGTATTTTTTTTTTCTTTTCTCTATATTTAATCTTTATACACCATGTATATTAATACGCGTAATCGCAGTTGATCATATTTATGGACTATGTTTTTTTGCCACTAATTAAAGCATGATTATCATTATAAGTTAACCTGCTTTTAAATTCTTTTTGTGACAGCAGATATTTTCACATGTAACAGCAGATATTTTCACTATAATCTTGCTAGGAGTACGAAACAAAAAAAGTAATAGTAATAAATATAAAGGAAAATGAATTGTAACTTTTGTTCATATATATATATATATATATATATATATATATATATATATATATATATATATATATATATATATATATATAGGCCTAGGTTATTCTATTCAGAATAATTATTGTGTTATTGTATGCATAAATGTGGGTCAATCAAATTTACTTATTTTAAGAAAATGATTAATATATATTATTGAATTAAATATAATTGAAAAATATCATCTTAATTAATTGCAAGGGTATTTTAGTCAATTAATATAGATTTAATAAAGGAAAATTGTATTTTTTAAGGGATTATAGATTCTATTAATTTTAAAAATCCGATTTTACAAATTATAATTCTTTTAATTCGGACATTCTGACAGAATATGTTATGGGTATATTCAAAAATAAAAATATTCTTGAACCATAAATAATAAAAATATTCTTGACCTTATTTCTTGATCGTGACTTTAAAAACTTCTTGTAGAATAACAAATTTTTGAACAATCGATTGAAGAATAAAAACAAAAAATACATTATTTCTTATAGAATACGCGTAACAATTGTTAAGAATTACATTTATTGTTAAAGAATAAAACTAAAAAAACTTTCAAAATGGGAAAGAAAACATCAAAATCTAACAACGACAATAATACATTCTAAAAGAATAATGTTGCTTAGAATCACTTTCAATTTTGTGGTCCGTTCTTCAAGCATCAACTTCTGTGATTCCAACAGAATTGATCACTATTTGGAATTTGTGATTCCAACAGAATTGGAATTTGTGATTCCAGCAGATCAGGAGGAAAAATTGATCGACACCATGAAGATGCTAAAAATATGAAACAAACCCAACATGAAGTCTATACCCAATCCATCCACTTTTAAACCCTAGATATCCACCCGCTAGAATAATAAAGATCATAGCACAAATGTTTGCAGCCGTGACGACTGATTGCACGAAAGTGCTCTGTAACATTCAAATTTCATAAAACAAACATGTTTAACAACAGTTCCAACACAACTTAGTGAAGAAAAAAAAGATCTTTGGAAGAAAATGAAGGACTACCTCTTTGATTCCAACACATAATAGCCCTGTAACAATGAACACCAAGAAAGCTGCACAAGGGTCGACCACAATACAATCTAGAGCAACCTAAAAGCTGCCAATGCCAAACTAGAATCAATAGTATGTTAATACTCATTACTCGATAAACTAGAATCAATAGTATGTTAATACTCATTTGCACAATTGATGTATAGAATTTTAGATAAAGAAATTACAAAATACCAGAAAAGACGTACCTTGCAGAATTGGCTACAGTCCTAGAGATCTTCATCTTCTTCTTAGCGCCTTTATAAAGATCCTCCAAGCTACAAGGCAACAAATTCTCCACAGCAGGAGCCTTCCTGGCCGATGAACTCTCCCCACCGTTTGGAGCCCTAAAAGCCCCATCTTTGAACGTCCTCCCCGCAGACTCAACAGAATAGTAGACAAAGATCAGAACATGTCATCATGTCCCAGACAATTTAAGAAATTGAACTGACAGATTATTAATGGAGAGGTAGGTACCTGTTTGGCGACGAATTCTGGGTAATTGTCCTGGAGCAACTGAAGAACTTGACGGAGTTCTTTCTTGAATGGGGAGGGGGAAAATTTGAGATCGATGATTCGAACGATGGTGGAGATCCCATCGGGGCTGAAATCGATCTTTCTGATACTCTTTTCCAGGAACTGGATTCTCCATCGAAGGAAATTCGTGCGCTTCTCTTCGTCGGAGAAGGTTGCTTGGTATAATTCCTTGTTTTGATACTCGCCGTATGCGTTGTAGCAGACTGGGTGGCCGTCTTTATCGACGCCGTGCATGTAAACCACCTTCTCTTGCTCTGTTCCTAGATCTTCATCGAGTAGTGATTCGATCCCGAAGATTGATCTTCAACTGGGTGATGAAGATTGATCCTATACCGGTGGGAGTATTTGCGGAAGTTATTTCTCAAATTACCTAGTTACCCTTAATGATTTATTTAATTATTGTTTTTTTCTTTTAAATTTTAATTGGCCCATATTTATGCATACAATAACAGAATAATTAGTTTAAACACCTGAACCTAGCTCTCTCTCTCTCTCTCTCTCTCTCTATATATAGATTATATATATATATATATATATATTATAATATATATATAGATTATATAATATATGGAACGTTCAATCGAGAACATTCTTATCGCGCGAGAACATTTGAGAACAAATTTTGACCACACAAATTTTTTTAATTAAAATTATAAAAGAATATTCATATAAATCAAAAAATAGTTACAAACAATTAAAAAAACCCACTAATACCACTCACCACCCAACCAACACCACCCACCACCCACCGACCAGCACCACCACCACCACACACCCGCCACCACCACCCACCCCCACCCACCCCCACAACCACAACCACCCACCACCACCACCACCACCACTAATCACCACCACCATCGCCACCCACCACTACCACCACCACCGCCGCCACCACCCGCCTCCACCACCCATCACCACCCCCCCCCACCCCGCCACCACCACCCGCCACCACCACCCATCACTACCCACCACCTCCAACCACCACCCACCACCCATCACTACCCACCACCCATCACTATCCACCACCCGCCACCACCCACCACCACCACATCAATCACCACCAACCACCACCCGTCACTACCATCACCACCCACGCACCACGTACCACCACCCGCCACCACCACCCACCTCCACCACCCATCATCATCACCCACCCAACACCACCCACCACCACTACTACCCACCCATCACCACCAACCCGCCCACCACCACCCACCATCACAACCCACCACCACCCATCACTACCCACCACCACTCGCCACCACCACCCACCTACCACAACCACCACCGACTACCCACCACCCACCATCATCACCACCCAACCACCACCACCCAACCACCACCACCCGCCACCAGCAGCCACCTCACACCCACCACCCCCGCCCACCCACCACCCACCAAAACCACCACCACCTGTCACCACCAACCACCACCATCCACCAATCACCACCACCCGTTGACCACCACCTACCATCACCACCCGCCTCCACCACCCAACACCACCAACACCACCCCCACCCACCCACCCACCACCACCTATTACCACCCGCATACACCACCCATTACCACCACCCGTCACAACCACCCGCACCCACCACCCACCAAGACCACACCACCTACCACCATCTCCACTACCCTCCTCCATCACCCATCACTACCACCTGTCACTACCACCATCACCACCACCCGTCACCGCCACCCACTACCCCCACCACCACCACCCGAAACCAACACCAACACTCCCACCCACCACCACCACATGTGATTATATGTATACATATGATTTATATGGATACGATTCGTTTTTGTCTAAATAAATCATATGTGATTAGATACTTGTACTCATATATGATTAAGTACATGAGAATAAAAAAAATGTATACTATCCACATAAATCACATGTGATTAGACATATATAATCACAACTGATTATATGTTTTAATCACATATGATTTATGTGAACAACATGCATTTTCGCATTGTTGATTCGTTAGTTGTTCTCTTATATATTTAATCACATGTGATTATATGTATGATGTATCTAATCAAATATGATTTATATTGACAATATTCATTTTCACATTTTCTCTTCAATAAAATTTTGTATGTATTTCATCACATGTGATTTATGTGAACAATATTTATTTTTGCGTCGATTCAATAATTTTTCTCATTATTTAATCATACATGATTAATGTGGACAAAATTCGTTTTTGTTCATATAAATCATATGTGATTAAATACATATAATCACATGTGATTATACAAAAAAAAACTATTGAGTCGAGAAAGCGAGAACAAATTTTGTCCACATAAATCTTTTGTGATTAGATACGTATAATCACATATGATTTATGTGGTAAAAGAACAACTATTGAATCAAGAATACAAAAATAAATCATGTCTACATAAATCATATGTGATTAGATACATATAAGCACATGTGTATTTAGTCACAGGTGATTATATGTATTTAATCACATGTGATTTATGTGGACAATATTCGTTTTCGCGTTAAAATGGACAAAAAACAATTATTGAATTGAGAACGTGAAAATGAATCTTTTCCACATAAATCATATGTGATTAGATACATATAATCACATATGATTAAATGTTATTAGATATATTTAATCGTATATGTTATTATCACGTTGTCCATTTAATAATTATTTTTTTTTGTCAACTTTAATCATATGTGATTAGATACATATAATCACATGTGATTATATGTATCTAATCACATATGATTTATATGAACGATATTCATTTTTGAGTTTTTGTTTCAATAATGTTTCTCATATATTTAATCATATGTGATTATAAATATTTAATTACACGTCCACCACCCATCAACCACACAACCATCACCCACCAACCACCACCCACCACCCTTCACCAATACTACCACCTACTATCCTTCACCAACCACCACCACCCAAACACTTATCACGCACGACATTATCCCCACACCACCACCACCACACCCACCCCACCTCCACCACCACCACCACACTACACATATCCCATACCCACCCCATCCCATCACCACCACCACCACCATATGTGATTAAATTAATAATAATCACACATAATCATATATGATTATATGTATTTAGTCACATAAATTACATATGATTAAATAAATATACTCACGTATGATTATATGTATATAATCACATATGATTTATATAGACAAGATTAGTTTTTGTCTAAATAAATCATATATGATTAGATAATATAACCAGATGTGATTAAATAAACGAGAATAACGAAAATGAATCTTATCCACATAAGCCATATGTGATTAAACTTATATAATCACATGTGATTATATGTTTTAATCACATATGATTTTTGTGAACACTATGCATTTCCGCGTTTTCGATTCGTTATTTGGTCTCGTGTATTTAATCAAATGTGATTATATGCATTTAATCACATATGTTTTATATAAACAAGATTCGTTTTCACATTCTTCGTTCAATAGTTGTTCTCATATATAATCACATGTGATTATACGTATCTAATCACATATGATTTACATAGATAAAATTTATTTTCATATTTTTGATTTATTAAATTTTCTCATGTATTTAATCACATGTGATTATATGTATTAAATTACATATGATTAATGTGGACAAAGAACAACTATGAATTGAGAACGCGAAAACGAGTCTTGTGCACATAAATCATATGTGATTAAATACATGACAACAACTATTGAATCGATAAGACGAAAACGAATCTTATCCATATAAATTATATGTGATTAGATAAATATAATCAAATATGATTAAATATAAAAGAACAACTATTAAATCGAAAATGTGAAAATGAATATTGTTCATACAAATGATATGTGATTAGATACATATAATCGTATGAAATTAGATACATATAATCATGTGTGATTATGTTAATTTAATCATATGTAATTTATGTAAACAATATTAATTTTCATGTTCTCTATTTAATTGTTGTTCTCGAATATTTAATCACATGTGATTATAGGTATTTAATCACAAAAGATTTATATGGACATGATTTGTTTTTGTGTTCTTGATTCAATAGTTGTTCTCGTATATATAATCACATATGATTATATGTATCTAATCACATATGATTTATATGGATAATATTTGTTTTCACATTTTCGATTTAATAATTTTTCTCATGTATTAAATCATATGTGAATATATATATATATATATATATATATATATATATATATATATATATAATCACATATGATTAATGAGGATAAATAACTACTATTGAACCGAGAACACGAAAACAAATCTTGTGCACATAAATCATATGTGATTATATAAACGAAACAACTATTGAATCGAGAAGGCAAAAAATGAATATTTTTGCAACTGACTTCAATTATCATAGCGAGCATATGCGAAAACGACGTCATTTTACATTTTTTCTAAATCACATGCTATCGACATTTTTGTACTAGCAAAAATTTTGGTTGATTTTGGTATATTTAAAATGTTGAACTCTTTAAAAAACGATTTATAAGATTAACTTAATTAGTTATTTTCTCAAAAGCAAATTTTTAAAATTTATTAAAAATGTTTAAAAGTACATTTTTGCTACTCTTTGTACGTTGCTTTGAATCCTTTCGTTGATATCACCAAATATAGCACCTAACACGCCATCACATGTCAATGTCAGACATGTTATCTTTCCAAGAACCAAAAGTTTCTTTATTATTATTTATTATGAACATAAAATGTATTAAAACATTATAAACATAAAAATGAAAATCATGTACCAGATTTTTGCCTCACACCATCATAACCCTCAGTTTTCCTTTATTCTCTTCCCTCTGTGCCTCTCAATCAGTTTCAGAAGATCATCCGACATTGAATTCCAACCATGAGTCGATTCAACAAACTTGACATCATCGATTACTATTTGAATAATCCACTATTTTCCCCCATTTCCAAAACCGTTTGCGTTTCTAAACCATACTTTTCCCATTGATCTAGCCGTCGTTCTCTTAAAGCATACTTTCCCTTCATATCTCTATTTGATGACCTCGACATCGTCGATATGATTCACGTCGAGAGGAGGTCGTCGTTCGACACCTTTACAACTCGAAATCTCATCACCAGGTGCCGATCCGCACTAACGAAATTGTACCTTCGGTCACTTTCCGGCCGCTTCTCTAGTCTCGAGTGAGGGTTGATCTGTGGAACGAGAAGAAGGTCGAG